CAAAGAGAGAGGATTAGAGGCCGATGTTTCATCATCAACCTAGATGACTAGCGCGGTCATTGAGAACCCTGTCTCAAATGACTATTCAACGAGAGACTCAGTCATGAGTCGAACTCAAACCTATCTAGGATCGAGTCGCGAATAAGGCTAAGAGCCGTGTATTGCATTCACCCCCTGACAAGGGTCACAGAAGGCGGCACAGCAGTCGACCAAGGAGAACATATGATTTAAAGTGCCGGGCACTCCCATGAGATTTGGATTTAGACATGTGCGTCTCACGATGGCTATCCTACAAGGGGATCAGCCTTGTATGGGTTGTAATATACTCTTTAATGTTCCAATGCAAGTCTGGTAGACTGTGCCGCCGTTGTCGTTAGCATGTTGGAGCCGTACGTTGCCATTGTCATTGACTCCGTCTATAGTGTAAGGACCTTTGTACTTTGGCTGACCATACTTGCGGTGCTTTGATACGTTTGAATCATCACGGTATCGTTGACATTGTATTGATGAGGGACAACCGTCGCCGTTTTCCCTGTCGTTGTTTTTGTTGGATTAGTCGTTGGCGACGTTCCTAAATGTACTTCCAGTTGGCTTCGAACCGGACGTTGTGATCGCGTTCACGATTGAAAACGGGCTGTGCGGGCGTTGCGGGCAAGGTGGAATGAATCGTGGCATTCATTGCAAAGCGAACCGCCGTGAGGACTCCATCCCAGGATCCATTCACGAGGTCGTGTTGGCACTTGATGTTTTGAGACACAGACGTAATGCCAGAAGAACACTGTATCTTATTGATGGAGCAGCCACTCTGCTCTAAAAGAGCATTAATTATGAGTTGGCGCCTGTGAGGTCTGCGACAACGTAAGTAATGAACTTGCGACTAAGTCCGTATTCATCCCGTAGTGTCTTCTCGACTTCTGTGTGGAACTCACGTTCTCTATACATGATAACCTCAGCAGGCCAATGATAGTACCGAGTAAAGCCAACGTTTTGTTCGAGGAACGATGGCTACTTTTTCGTCGCCGCTGCCTTGGAAGCAGAATTCTCTGCAATCTCGAACCATGCGGTTACGGGATCAATCATTGTCAAGCATTGAAGTGTGCAGGAATTCTATTTCTTAGGATCCCCGACGTTGTAAGGAGCCTATCAGGTCAATACAACGTCTTTCCCAAGGATCTCCTTGCAAGTCTTTGGAGGAACACAATCCCAGCTTACGCGTCTTGGGTTTGTTCTCTTCGCAGCTTTGCAACGCTGCATACGGCCTGCACAGTCTGCGCAGATCCTTCCAGGTGTAGTGTTGGCTGATGGTTTAGTTCTGTGCGAGTCTCGTCAGGATCATCAGCACACCATTGGTACCATTCTAACTAGCTCTCTTCTGCATAGTTTTAGGTACGCGATCTTATCGTCCTTGACTACTAAGTCGTAAGACTTAATCCCCTCTGGGGAAAGATTGCTTCTGTAGTCGTTTGGCTTGTCCCTGAGGAGTTTCTTGATATCGTTGTCGTCTCTCTGACGATTTTCGATCTCGGGAAACGAGAGAGGGAACTCGCTTAGGGAAGTCCTCTTCGTCTGAGCCATGAGCTCAGCGATCTCGCTGGCGTCCATCTGTACTGAAGAACCGTCGTTTTTGGAGATGTTAAGTCTCGACAAGCATCAGCGACGATGTTCTGTTCGGCCCTTGATGTACCGTAGTCAGGGCCGTATTCTTCAGAATAAGGCGCCATCTGCTTACAGCGATCGGTATTGAAGTTCTTACATGTAAGATTCTTGTGGTCCTGTATGTACAACGATCTTCTGTCCCGAGAATAATGTTAGCGAACTCTTTGAGATGTTTCTACGAATACTGAGAGTTCCTTCTCGGTAACGTGTAACGTGTCTGAGCAGGGTTGAGCTTCCTACTGTATGAACGCGATAGGTTTTCCTTCTGGGAAATTACGGCACCTAGTTGAGTATCACTCGCATCCGTGTGGATAAGAATGTATCGTGAAGTCAGGGTAGGCGAGCAAGGTTTCCTTGCTGATGATCTTCTTCATCTGGCTAAGGCCTTGTCGTGTTCCGCTTCCATTTCCACATTGTTTTGGAAGTCAACGAAGCGAGTGGGGCCAGTACATGTGATCGTCTGATCCACATGTCTCGATAGTAGTTCACTAGTCCAATGAATCTACGGAGTTCTTTTCTGTTGGTAGGAGGACGATATTCTGGATCGCGTCTATTTTTTCTTGGTTATGGGTTGGATCCCTTCTCGAGTAATCCAGTAACCTAGGTATTCAAGTTCTCCTCTTGCGAAGAAGGACTTGGTAGCATTGATCTTAGTCCGGCTTCTCGAAGCCTTCGGAGAACTTCATCAACTTTTCAACGTGATCTGCTAGATCGCCGTTAGTTAGGATGAGTAGATCATCAATGTATGCACGGACGTTTTCTAGGTCGTGCATTAGTGTTCCCATTTTCTCTTGGAAGATGTCGGGACTATTCATAGGCCCATGGCAACTTCTGGTACTCGTATTTTCCCAACGGGAGTACGATGGTAACGAGTTGCTTCGAGTGAGGTGACAGCTCAATGTGATAGTATCCATGTTCAGGTCTAGAATAAGTAGCGTACTTGAATCCATCTAGATTCAAGAGCATGTCCTGTATTTTTGGGATAGGATAAGGCTTCCGCTTAATCCTTTGTTAGTTCCCGGAAATCAGAGATGAATCGTACAGATCCATCCTTCTTGAGGAATGATGAAATGTTGGTGCGCCCACTCGGAACGGTTACTTCTTGATTACTCCTCTCGCAGAGACGTTCAACCTCATCTTAAGAGTGTTGGTATGGACCCGTGGAATAGGTAAGCCCTGGCATGATAGGGTTTAGCATCAGGAAGAAGTTCTACTTCGTAGTCGTCCATCTGCCACTTTCCCAAGTACCATCAAATAGGTCAGAGTACTTCATCAGTAAGGAATGAAGCTGTTCCTTCTCTTCCGTGTTTAACTGATCTTGACTTTGGCAACCTGCCTTAAGTCAGCTTGTTCGATTTCGCATCAAGAATCTTCTGAGACGATCTGCACTGTCATCAACAGCGGTAGGTCAGGAATGAAGAAGTTCTCTTCTTCATTGGTGTCGCTCTTTCATAGGAATAGATGCGCCGTCCCATTCACTGACATGGTAGTGAAATCGAACTTGAATCCTAGATCAGAGAGAATGTCTCGACCTATGATCATGTCATACGCCCCAAGCTCTTGTTGACGTGTAAATCCATCTATAATTCTATCTTCGTGGAATCAGGAATCATAAATGCACCTTTGCACTTCGTGCTGGTGTTTAATTCTCCTGCAGGGTAGTCCACATCGTTTGGACGCCCCCAAGATCTTTCATTGCGTAATTTCTTAGCATGAGTTGAGCAATCAAGGTTCCGGATGCTCCTGTATCCAGTAAGCAACGGAGTGTAACGGGTTTTGGTTTCCCTTTTTCTCGCTTGTTAAATCTACAATAGACGATGGTTTGAGGTCTCTTGTCTTGCGACGTTTACGAGGTGGTTGGCCACGGACGAGGTTAACGATGCTAAATAGATCATCAGAGTCTAGTTGAGCAGCTTCTAGGCAATCATCTAATTTGCCGTAGAGTTCATCGGTTGCAAACAATTCTTGTTTACTAGTTAGTGAGATATCTTCATCACTTTGGTATGAGAAATCGGAACATGGTTCCGTTGAGTCATCATCCCGGCCTAATCCTCAGATAGAGATTTCTCCATCCAAGTGATTGAAATCGATAGAGGAGTTGTCCTCGTTATCAGAGCTTTCTGATTTGCGCTTGGCAACATGGTTGCGAAGTTTGCAGGTGGTTGCACGAGTATCGTCGATCTCGGTGTCTTCGTCATTGTCCACGAGAGGAAGAATGGGTTTGTCACGCAACTGTTTCTCGAAGTTGCGGAACGCATGCTTTCCTTGAGCCATCTTCATGGTTAAGGAATAGGTTGAGGGTAGCTGAAAGCTATTGTGTTTGTTAACAAAATGCACTACGCTAAAAGCTAGTGTAAAGATCTTTCGAGTGTTTTGAGTTTGAGAGAATGAAAGTTATGAGAGAGATTAGAAAGCTATGAAAACTAATCAACGAGAGAGATCATCATCAAGGGATCGTAGATCTGGCTTCCCGCGGGAGACTATAAAGTGTGATGGAGTAGGTTGCGGTAGTAATCCTACGTCTCTCCACGATCCTAAAACGGAACGCATGGAAGGTTTGTCTAGCCTGGGTCTAGTAGCGTGGAAGTACTCCACGCTGGCTAAATATCTAGAGCGATGTTTCATCATCAACCTAGTATGACTAGCGCGGTCATTGAGAACCCTGTCTCAAATGACTATTCACGAGAGACTCAGTCATGAGTCGAACTCAAACCCTATCTAGGATCGAGTCGCGAATAAGGCTAAGAGCCGTGTATTGCAGATGGAATGGCACTTCAAGGAATGTGGAAAGCTGGCAGAACACCAATCACTTGGTGAGTGCAAAGAGTTCATTTCACGCAAAAAATTGATGAAGAAGCTCAAAACGCGGTACAACATGGGCAAAAAGTATGCCCAACCGATAGAGAAAGTCTTGCCCCATACCAAGTCTAAGGTCAAAATATATCGCCGACATGCACGAGATCTTGTCGAAAGCCTTCTGACTGATCCACGATGGAAGGATGAGGATTGGCTGTTCTTCGATAACGAGAACGGTGAACCAGATCCTTTTGCACCACCCCCCAACGATTTGAAGCAAATTGGGGATCTCAATACAGGATTAGCATATCGTGAGACGTACAAGAAGCTGATCACCAAACCTGACAAGCAAATTTTGGTGCCCTTACCTCTTTACATTGATGGGGCTGTAACAGGGCAGTTTGACAAGCTCCAAGTTACCGCATTGAAAATATCCCTGGGCATCCTGAACCGTAGGGCCAGGGACAAAGAACATTCATGGAGGGCCCTCGGATTGGTGATCGAGCAACTACACAAAAGAAGATTCAAGAGGACAAAATTTTTTTCACCGAGTCGGGCCATGTTGCGGCCGAGGATGCGGCAAGGGAAGCAAATGCAAATGATCAGGCAGCAGGCCAGTACACCGGAAAGGAAGGGGATCCAGACAAGGCGGCCGCTATCATTTCATCCTGGAGGAGCTCCTGAAGAGTGTAGATGAGCTTATCAAAGAGGGGATGGTCATGGATATTTGGTACAAGGGCAAACTTTACAAGGACTGTGAGCTCGTCTTCTTTATCCCCTTCGTCAAATGTGATGGGGATGAGGGTGACAAGTTGTGCCTTTCCTTTCGGTCCAGAGGCAAAAACATCAAACAGTTGTGCCGGTACTGTAAATGTCCAAATGACCGAACCGATGATCCAAAGGCAAAGTTCCCATATAAGACGGAACCAATGCTGAAGAAGATGTACGAGGCCAATGATCATGCGGAGTTGCGGGAGCTCTCACAGATTTGCGCAAAAAAATGCATTCCATGGCCTGCGGTTTGGCATGCATGATAACAGAGGAATCCATGGTGCTTGCCCAATGGAGTTGCTGCATGCCATCTTGTTGGGCATCTTCAAGTATGCCAGGGATTGCTTCTTTGCCCAAATCGGTAAAACATCTACAACCGCTGAGGAGATCAATTCGCTTGCCAAACTGATTGGAAGGCTACTTTCTCGTCAATCTGACCGAAATCGACCAAGGACAAAGTTCGCCAAGGGTATCATGAAAGGGAAGCTAATGGCCAAAGAATTCACTGGCGTGCTCCTTTTGATGTCGGCTGTTCTTAGAATGCAGAAGGGTTTGGATACGCTTGGGAAGGCATGGAAGAAAAGCTTTCGTGAGGCATGGCAAAGAAGAGATTGGATAATGCTGATTGAGACGTTGCTCCAGTGGGAAGCATACATCAGTGGTGCCGAAATGGATGTAAAACATGTGGAAAGTCTCAAGACGAAGAATCGTTATGTCATGTACCTTCTGAAGAAGATTGCCAACCGAACCAAGAAGATGGGTTTCAAGATAATGAAGTTCCATCGCATCGTGCACCTTGCGTATGACATCATAAACTTTGGAGTGCCCATGGTTGTTGATACAGGCTCCAATGAATCTCATCACAAAGTTACAAAGGTGGCCGCTCAACTCACGCAAAAGGACATTACAAACTTTGAAAAGCAAACCTCTGATCGCTTGGATGACATGCTTGTGTTGGAATTGGCCATGGAGGAGATCGATGGACGTCCACTTTGGGAATATTTTGATGGGTATGAGCACGACGAGCCAATGGAAGAACCCGAAACAATTAAGACTTGTGGCATGTGTTTTGTCGTCTTGCAAAAAGAAGATGATGCCGAACCAACCTTCGAGATCAAATCTCGTATGAAGAATAAGGCCAAAGTCGAAATGAATCCACAGCTGGTTGACATGTTCTGGACACTTCAGCAAAAAGTTTCCCATTTTGTTCCAACTCTGCATTTTCATGCCGAACACCACAGAAATGGTGTCATCTTCCGTTCACATCCAGACTATCGTTGCAGAGGAGCTTGGAGGGATTGGGTGATGATACAGTGGGAAGTTGGCAACTACCCAGCACAAATTTGGGCATTTGTGGATCTGACGGGCATTCCTCCAGGAGAGACTGTCGACTTGGATGAAAATACGGAGCTCAGCAGTAATGTGTATGCCATTGTGGAGAGTGCAGAAGTGCAAAACGAAGAGGAACCACTCTCTGACTTGTGGACTCCAATCAAAATGGAGGGTACCTTGAATGAGCGGCAGTTCTACATTGTCGACGTGGACTTCTTGGACCCCATTACTGTCATTCCCAATCTTGGCAGTGACGATCCGATGGAGTTTCTCATGATGACACCAAAACAGGAGTGGTCACAGCAGTTTGTAGATTGGATTAAAGCTCCTCACACGGTGGATAAGGAGGAAATGAAGGAGCCAGAGCCAGAATCTGAATCAGAGGACGACGATGAGCCAGAGGACGAAACTGACAAAGAGGAAAGCGATTCTGATGATGATGACGGAGATACTGATGAGGAGGAAAGCAGTGATGAAGAGGACGACGACTAGATAGACGACATTGTCAAGTTTGCCGTTGTTTGTTTCGCCATGGTCGAGCCTTGCCGTTGTTTCGATCGGTTTGGTTGAGCGGACGTTTCTTTTCTTCGCTGGAAAGTGTGTGAGTATGGTAACCAACAGTAGGGATTGTACACAAATAATGAGATTTTTGCAATCCGAAGGGCGTTCTTCGATACTTTGCGTTGTGTATTTAGAAACCCCCCTCTAAACATATGTCTCAACGTTAAACATTCCAAATCAGGATCTAGAAGGTTCGATACAACTGGCTTGCTTTCAGCGAAGCCTCCGCCCACGTGCAATTTAAATTGGTGCAACAGCGCATAATTACTTTTCAAAAGGATGTCGCAGATGAACTTTTCGACATTCTTTAGGAGCATTTACCTCATTTTTATTTAACTTCTGAGACACAATCATGACACGTGGGATTTAAGCTCAATGCCAAATTGTGCCTTCACTTAACGATCACGGGACTAGCCAAACTCCCAAATAGTGAGTCTTCCACGATTACAAGTCGCCTGCCCGTACCATAGCTTCGGATACTCCTTGACTCTTTTCTTAAGTAATTTGAAGTTTAAATTGACTGGGTGTGCTCGGAGTTATGTTCAATTGGACAAAATCCGATGGATTTTGGATCCGTTTGTCATGCTCCTTAATCATTCCATAACGTAATTCCAACAAAACGTTGCACCTCTTGATCAATTACACGATGCCAAGCTTGGGAGAAGAGTATGACAATTTCAGTAGTACCGGTAAGCCCCTCTTTGCATTGAGTATCGATCCAAAAAAACGTTGACAATGGAGACACACACGATTGTCTATATTCAAGACGGGATACACTATGAGAGTATCAACGTTGTCTACTTGCACTCTTGGATTGATGCTTTGCATAGTCGATCTTACCCTCTGCTCTCATTATTTTTCCACTTCGATGTTTTGAATCGACAGAGGAAGGACTTCAGACTGATTTTGGTGGAGGTTTCTATAGTACCGAGCAAGACCAAGACGACCATCTCCTCAACAATCATCCATTGCCTTCACTAACACGGCTACCAGACTCTCATTTGGGTGGATTTGGTCAAGGTCAGTTTGCTGCAATCACGGATAACGACCCATTTGAGCTGATCGAATTTGAAGCGGACAAAGAGAATCTCCCACCAAAAGCACCGGCAAGAGCATCCCATCCTTCTAGGCCGGCTCAGAGTGGAAAGTGCTAACGTGAGGAAATACTACTTGAATAGAGGGATCTTGAAGAGGTAGCTACCACCCAAAGAGATCAACTGCAACTATTCAAGACGAGTGCAAGGTAAATGCAAAGTTCGCTTCTTAGTAGTTCATAATCTGTGTTGTGAGCTTTGATTGATGTGATCAGTAAAGCTAGTTCGTAGCGTGTTAGATCAATGCATTGTGGTAGTTGATCTTGATTCATACAGAAGTCAACGTGGTATCTGCGGGAAATGGTTCGTTGGCAGGATGCTTTACTCCTGTCGAATACTCCAGTTTACCGTGTCCTTTGGTTTCGTTGAGAACGTGTACTTGCTAGTGTTCTCTGTTCCATCGTGTTGACTCATAAAGCATGACTCAATCTACTCACGGATACTCTGAGTCGTGGGAGAAACTGTAACGCTTTCACTCCCCTCAGTGGCGACTGTCGACTCTGAGTGTTTCTTACCGCAATCCTTGGTATCTCCTGACCAAAACAGTAGTGCATTCAGCATAGGCCATACCGATGTATAGTCCCAGTGCTTGCTGAGGATATCTGCAGGGTTAGTAGATCCAGGGATATGATGAAATCTCAAGATACTTGCAGCAACAGCTTCCCTAGTACGGTGGTAGGAAAGAAGCGCATTGTGTCTTTTGAGAATCTTTGAGTGTGGCATTGAGGCGGTGTTGACTACCGTCTCGTTGTCTCCAAACATCATGGTCGGCGTGTCGACCAGTACTCCTAGGTACCTGAATGTGCTTCATAGGTCAATGATCTGCTCAGTGGCGGTACGGGCTGCAACATATTCAGATCCGAACGTTGCGGTCTCGACTGTTGACTGTAGCTTACTGAACCAGTCGATGGGAGTCTTGTTCGCTAGGTGTAGAACTCCGGTAACTGACCGTCCACTGATGGGATCGTGATAGAGGTTCGCATCCACATATGTGGTGAGAATGACCCGTTTGCCTCGAGGTACCGGTGCGTTGTGCGGTTGAACTTCTTTGGCACCATGGTAGCATGAGTACTCCCATTCATACTCTTTCTTAGGAATCGCTGAGTAATCCGGTTCCTCCTTTCGAATGCGGATAATGCCGTGTCGCATCTTGGAAAGTTACCCGCAGATTCTCTTGACTCGTTCTAAGTAACCCATTCTTGGTGCTGCCAGAAATCTGGACATCGTCATGGTGGCCGTGGCAATATCAAACCTTCCGATTTGGATTGCCCATTGTAGACTACCGATGAGGGATTGGTATATCTTCTGTGTGTCCATATCGAGTAGCTCTGTTGTGTCAGTCTCTGGATGATCTCCTTTGATGAGTGGAGATGAGGCTTGTTTGGGCATGTGTCCGAAGATCCGTTGGTAGTTGCTGAGTACCTTCTCAATGTATTTGAGAGGTGCGTAACTCAGTACTCCATTCTCATCGCGGAAGAAATCAAATCCTAGGTGGAAGCTGATGGCACCGGTTCCCTTTAGTTTGAACTTGTGCTCCCCTTCCAATGTCGCGATGATCTTGGATGCGTCTTTGCTGACAATAAGGAGGTCGTCTACGTACACAGCGATGTATTCGTAGTAGCTCCCTTTGTCTCGCATCCAGATGTCTGATTAAGCTTTTGAAGGAAAGAATCCCATTGAACGGAGAATATCTGCAAATCGTTCATGCCATCGTAATCCAGATGACTTGAGTCCGTATAGGGCACGGCTGATGATGAGGGTGCATCCTTCTCGATCTCCGAACTCGGGTCCTGCAACAACGTACACCTTCTCTTTCGTAAACGATTCCAAGTAGGCGTTTCCGATGTCTGTTGCCCATACTTTGCGATCATTGAGTTCTGCGAGGAATGTGAGGATACGAATCCCACGTAATGAAACCACACTGGAATAGATGGAGTCTACTGGTGTATCAGTGAGATGTCCTCCAGCGACAAGCCGTGCTTTGTGTTGTCCATCGTGCTTGACTGTGTACACCATGTGCACTCGGATCTTCTTCCAATCTGGTCCAGGGTTGTGTCCCTTTCCTTTGTTGATGAAGGTCTCGTACTTATCAATCTGGTTGAGTTCGGTCATCTCAGCATCTCTCCACTTTGTATCTCCATTGCGCGCATCTAGTTCCATGGCTTGGTCATGGTTGCGCGGAACTTGGAATCCGTAAATGAACACGGGCTTGGTCCTGAAGGAGTGAAGCTTTGCTTGGTTAGCCGCTCGTACGAGTCGCTTTTGAGTCTTTGCGATCTTCTTGAGTCCCGGTAATTTCCATCCAACTGTGTCTAGTAGACCATGTGCTTCAGCGTAGATGGCGACCGTGACTGGATCAGACTCATGTACTCCCATCTTGTCTTTGGTGGTGAGAGGCTCCCAAGTTATCTCCCCAGTTTCCCATTCAACTTGGACGTTGTACCACGAACCTTTGTATCGTTCTTTGTCAGATGATCTGATGGGACCTTGATGATCCAATAAGATCTTGCGGAACTTCCATGTGCCATCCCAAGTTTGGTCTTGTTGAATGTAGTCCACGATATCGTTGTAGGCTACGATCTCCTCGTACTCATCGTTGACTCTTCATTTGAACTTGATCATGTCGGGATATTGTTGAACCTTCTCCTTGTGGTATTTGACTCTTTCAAGGATCTTGGCTCTTACTAGGGTTCCGTCTTCCTCGGGCGGCATTAGAAATGTTCTTTCGATCATCTGTTCAGGAGGTAGTCCTGATTCGGTGGGATTGTCAGTCTTCATATGTCGTTTGTTGAAGATAAATGGTTCCTCCATGCTAGATGATCCTTTCTCGGGCTTGTCCTTCTGATGGTTCGCAATGTTGTCGTCATCGTCGTTGACTGTTTCTACTATAGCTTGGGGGCATTTCCCTGAGAGGTGGTTCGTCCATTGGAGTAGGCTCTTCTGGAGTGGTCTCCCCTATCTCCCCTTCTTCGTCATCGTCATCGTCTGGAAGGTCAAAAGGGCTCTGGTTCATGTCGATAGTGGGCAGTCTAGCATCGTCGCCTTCTTCGTCTCTTTTAGACCTGATGTATATGCGTTCTGGGATTGCTCCTGCTTCGACGTCTAGCTTGAGGTTGTTGATCCCTTCCTTTGCAAGTCTGACTCTGGATCGACATATGATCTGTTTGGTATCATCGGTGAGGATCTTGAAGGTGAGTTGATGTCCAACGTTCCAGGCAAACCCAACGACACGTCCACGAATCTCTGAAGACTTGTTGTGTCCAGGTTGGGCATTGTACCCTTGGTCCTTGTATCGCAGAACATAAACAACATCCCAGAATAGGAATACGAGTAGAATGCTGATGTCCACGGTTTGTCCAGTGAGAACTTCAAGTGGTGGTCTCCATCCAGTTGATTTCTCTGCTGTATGATTCATAACATCACCTATCCATAGCATGCACAGTAGCCAGGCTTCGGGATCAACGTTTCGCCAGTTCATGAACCAGTTGTGGTTGCGTTTAAGATGCTTCCTTCTGTGTTCTGCGAAGTTTTGATGCTGGTAGTGGGGTTCAGATTGCCAATCGTCAATGCATAGTGCACGAAGTATCTCTTTTACTCGCGCGGAAGTTTGTGCTGAGTGTCCATCCAAGATGAGCTTGTCCATTGCTCCCCTTGTGCGTATGACATCCTCAAGGGTGTTGACAAAGTCCGCAGTGGAAGACATACCGAACACATCGATGACAAGCGATTTACGCCCAATGAAGATCTGTGCCATCATTTGACCTCCGCTGCAAATGGCGGGTGTATCCGCAAAGATAGTATCCGTAGCAACCGGTTTTTGTTGCGTCGCCATACATT